ATGTTTATGAAATTGCGTGCACTGACATTGGGTGCATATAAGTTGATAATTGTTATCTCCTGTTGATGTATTGTCCCTTTTATTATTATGTAGTATGAAGTGTCCCTTTTCTCATTTTATGAATGTAAATTTGAAGTCTACCTTGTGATATAAGCAATGCTACTCCTGCCTGTTTTGGTGGGCCATTGCCTTGGTAAATCTTCTTCCAGCCTTTTACCCAAACTTGTATTTATTTCTGTCAATGGGGTGGGTCTCTTGTAAACAACTGATTGTTAGGTCTTTTTTAAAATCCAATTTGCCAAATGGTGACTTCTGATGGGGGGAGTTGAGTCCATTTACATTTCAGTGTTAATTTTACATTCATTGTTTTGTTGGCAGGTAGGTGGTGACTCCTGGATTTAGTTGTTTTTGTTGTTTAAGGATTTGAGTATGTGCAGATGAACAAATGCTACTCTCTTATTACTTGTCTTTTTTTCTCCTGTGGTTTGATTCTTGCCCTCCTCTCATGGTTTTGTTTGCTTTCATCTTCTGTGTTCAGAATTCCTTGTAGAATCATCTGTAGTGTGGTGATATATTGTTTTAGTTTCTGTTTATCATGGAAGATTTTTATTGCTCTGGCAATTTTGAATGATAGTTTTTCTAGGCAGAGTATCATTTGGTGAAATTATTTTCATTCAGTGCCCAAAATACCTCACTCATGTTTGGTCTTTTGGTGGTGTCACTGAATTCTTGCATATTCCTTTTACAGCTCTTGAGTTGGTTGACTAACATTTCTTCTATTTTTTCTTTAATTTCTGTTTTCTCTTTGAGCTCTGAGGTTCTGTTGTCCACTTTGCTGGAGAGGCCTTTCACTGTCTTTTTTTTTGCTTGAGTGAAGGGATTTTTTATTTTCAGGATTTCTGTTTGATTCTTTTTTTCTGAGGTTTTTTTCCATTATTTTGTTCAACTGCTCTTTTATATTTTGTGCTGTTATCTTTAATTCACGTATGTCCCTTTTTATAGTGTCCTTTGTTTCACTTTAGTGTTTGTTGAAGTCTTCTCTGAGTTCATTTAGTTGTTTCTGTGTCTTCTCATATTCTTTATTTTTGGTGTCTTGAACTCTCTTGAATGCATCTTGTACATTCTGGTTAACCATGTCTGGTATCCTCTCCATGAATTTCTTGGTAATATCTTCCAAAATTTCTTCTTTGAGGGTATTTATGTGGGTGTCACTGGGCTCCTTAGTGATATTTATCATTGTTTTGTTGAGGTCCTGAATTGTATATCCATTTTCTTCATTTCCCACTGAATATTGTATTGAATTAATTTTTTTTGTGGAGAGTGTTTTCCATCCCTTCTTCTCATTGCTCCACTTGGTGCTCTGCAACTATGTTTTTGATAGCTAGTCAGTGGTTTTGATTGCCTGATTTCTTTCCCTGATTTAATTTTGCATTGTCATTGACTTGTTTGTTAGCTAGGTTGATGTGTTCTTTCTATCCCTGGCCTTGAGGTGTAATTTAGCAATAACAAATTCACAGGTTCAATGCCAGACCATTTGTTTACATATTATATAGAAAACTCCTTGATGATAATATCTATAAATAGTGGGAGTTGGGGCAGGTAATGGTTATTAGGCTAGTTATAGATTTTGGGGAATTGGTAAAGGTGGCACTAAGAAGGGGGGTGGATGGGAAAAGGGGTAGATTGGTGGGGGAAGTGGCATGGGCGCTGCTGAGTTTTGTAAACCTTGTGAGTGTATAGGTGTATTTCTATTGTAGTGGAGGGTGCTTGTGTCAGGGATTGCAGGGGGCTGGGGTTGTATACAGTTGGTACAGTAGGCTAGTCAGTGGGTGGTGACTGTGTAGGAGGGAGGGGTAATGCTGTGGCAGCTTGGAGAAGTATTGGAGGTGAAGTTGATGTCAGGGGAGAGAGTGGATGAGAAGGGGCAGAAAGAGTATTTGTGAGGGAGAACAATGGATTGTAGCACAGGAGAAGGAGGGAAAGTAAAGAGGGTAAGAATAAGGAGAAGAGAATAGTGATGGTGAAGTTAATAACACAGGAATAATAAAAATAAGAATAAAAAAAGAAACCCAATTTAAAAAACCCACCAGTTTCAGGAAACACAGAAATTTCAGTCTTTTGGTAAAAATTCTGGAGTTATTTCTTAGGTGTCCAATCCTGGTATTGGCATATAAGCTGAAGCTCTGATGTGGTCTCACCAAGTGACTGGCTTGTGAGTAATATTTGGTTCCTTCTGCCCACAAGATAAGTTGGAATTTAAGGTGAGGTAAGACTGCCAGCTTGTTCAGGGTGGTCAGAGCTATTATTTTCACCAGGCAGCAGCTGCACTGCCTTTCAGTTGCCACTCTGTTTGATCAGCTCCTCCACTTCAAGGTGGGGCAATTCAGTTTTGAATGTTGCCCTTTGTCCCAGAGATCATCTCCAGGATCCACCATTTCCCCAGCTTTGGGAGGTTGGCCTGTTGCTCCACCCCCACTCTCAGTCTTTGTGCTTCTCCCAATATTTGCTGGGTGGTAGTGGCTTGTCTGGGAAGTTGGCTGGTCACCCCACCCTGTTCTCAGCCTTTTTTGCCCCCCCTGGGCTCTGCTGGGTGCTAGCGGCTCCTTTGCGAGGTTGGTTTATCACCTCACTTCTGCTCTCAGCCTTTATGCCTCTCCTTATTTCTGCTGGGTTCTAACAAGCTCCTCTGAGAGGTTGACTTGTCACCCCTCCCTGCTCTCAGCCTTTACTGCTTTACCCATGTTAGTTCACTGAGAATTTGGTGCTGAGAGTTCAGCTTCTTGCCCCACCCATGTTCTCTGGATCAAGTTCAGTGTTCCACCCTCACCTCTGTTGTTTGTGTTAGATTACACTTCACTGTTTATGTTTTTCAGTTTTGCTGGGGTGGAGTGGGGGTTCAGTCTGCCCAGGGGCTGTGATATATTATTTTTCCTGGACATGGGTAAGGGAGTCATGAGTGGTGCGTGATGCTCACCTGTTTGTTCTGCAGTTTCATGCAAGCAGCTTTGGAGCCAGCTGGTGGGGAGAAATGGTGATGCTTTTTTCAGAGTGGTGTGGGGTAGAAAGACTTTCCATGGGCTAGTGGTCCTCACAGAGTTTGATTCTGATCAAATATTGATCTGACATAAACTTTGTTGCAGAACTTATCTTCTGTTTGTTGGGAGAAAAAGAGAAAGAGAGAGAGAGAGAGAGAAATGGCTGGGGGACTTCTTTTCCCCAGAGTCAGACATGCCTTGCTGGCTGTGCAGCATGGGATTTTCATCGCTGCTATGTGAAAATCAAGACTGATTTAAGGGTCAGTCTTTGAATTTCTTCTTCACCTAATGTTATGGCAGTTATTATTTTGGTTAGAAGCAATCAGAATTACTTAATTGTATCTCTGACATCTTATGGAGGTTTCTGGTATCACAGAGCTTAGGATTTCTGATACCCTACCCTAGCTTCCATCCGGGATCACCAGCTTAAAAGATAAATTTAAAACATTTTTTAAAAGTCTTTATTTCTTCCTTGTTAAGGAGAAGAGTGTATGCCTGTTGGGCTCCACCTGTACAATGTGTGCCCTCTTTCAATCTCCTGTTGTGTTTACTCATGTGTCCCCTCAGGGCCCCGGATTGATCTGATACAAGCCTGGGAGGAAGGCTCAGGAGTATGCACAGCTGATGGAGTGAGGTGCAGCAGGTCCTGTGTAGTAGTAGCAATTTTTAAGGTTTAGACTTCCCTGCTGTTCAGTGGGATAGTTCCAAGTGTGTGAAGTAGCAATTGGAGGTGGGGGGTGGGGTCCCTGAGCATAGCTACTGGATCAGAAAGCACTCTGCTCCTCATGAAGTCTGAACTTTCCTGCTCATGGAGTCCAGTGGCTGCTCTGGTTTGTCCACAATGAAGGTTTTTTCCCTTTTATACCTAGTGAGTAGCTCCTGTAACTTGTATATATGCATACACTCATGGTCATCTTGCTTCTGCATTGTTCCTTGTTTTGAGATAGGGATCAGGATGCTGAGCTCCATTCATCTAGCTTATGTGCTTCCATGCTTTTCCTATGAATGGAGATCCTGTTACTCAGAAGAGTCACCTGCTGGTCTAGGGCCACAGGTGGAGACCTTTTGGCCTGCTTACCCCAAAGTTTTCTTAGGGGTCAGATGTATTTTTATCTGAATTTTGGGTTTAGCCAGGTAGTGGCTCTCAGTAGACACTTTATAAATAATTATGTCAAAGAAATTGTCCCTTTGTTTTGGAATAAAATAAGCATATTCCACTGGTTTTCAATTTCCTTTAACTAGGATCAAATTTTAAAGGAAAATAATATTTATTATTCTCCATATCATCCTAAGAGAATTCTGCAGCCAGGTGTAGTGGATCAAGCATGTAATCCTAGCTATTCAGAGGCAGAGATTGGGATGATTGCAATTGGAGGCCAGCCAGGGCAAAAACTTCACAAGACCCCATTTCAACCAATGACCAGGGACAGTGTCATTCACCTGTCATCCCCAGGCACATGAGGAAACACAAATAGGAGGATCATGGAACAGGTGGGCTGAAGCATAAAGCAAGACCTTATCTCAAAATTAACTAAAGTGAAAAGAACTGGGGTGTGGCTCAAGTGGTACATCACCTTCCTAGAAAGTGTGAGTCTGTGAGTTCAAGTCCAATACCACAAAGAAAAAAAACAGTATTACATATGTTATTATTATTGTGAACTTGTTATTTCTAACATTCTTGTTCTTCTAACATTGTTCAGGTGAATTTCTCTAAAGTAGGTGTGCATAGAAGGAAATGCAGAGCAAACATAGGCAAGAATGAAAGAATTCTAGATTATTAGGGTTTTCACAACTGAGAAATATAGCTGAACTAAAGTGAGAATATTTTACTTTTTGTAATTTAGATTTAAAATATATACAGAGGGATGAGGTCCTGTTACATTTATCCAGTGCATTTTCTTTTTCAAAAGGTGTCCAAACAACATAGAAGGAGGAAATCTAACACCAGTATCAGAATTCCATCTCATGATGCCCTCAGAGGATCCAGAACTGCAACCTGTGCTCTTTGGACTTTTCTTGTCCATGTATGTGGTGTCAGTACTGGGGAACCTGCTCATCATCACAGCCATTAGCACTGACTGCCACATTCACACCCCCATGTATTTCTTTCTCTCCATCCTGTCCTTGGATGACATCTGTTTTGTCTCCACTACAGTCCTGAAAATGATTGGGAACATCCAAACTCACAGCAGAGTCATCTCCTATGTGGGCTGCCTGACACAGATGTCTCTTTATATCATTTTTGCAGATATGGATGGTATGCTTCTGACTGTGATGGCCTATGATCGGTTTGTGGCCATCTGTCACCCCTTGAACTATCCAGTCATTATGAACCCCCGACTCTGTGGATTGTTAGTTTTGCTGTCTTTTTTGATTAGCATTTTGGGCTGTCAGGTACACATTTTGTTTGTGTTACAAATTACATATTTTAAAGATGTGGAAATTTCTAATTTTTACTGTGACCCTTCTCAACTTCTTGATCTTACCTGTTCTGACAGCTTCTCTAATAACATTTTCAAGTATTTGGCTGTGACCATATATGGTTTTTTCCCCATTTCAGGGATATTCTTCTCTTATTATAAAATTATTTCCTCCATTCTGAGAATCCCATCAGGTGGGAAGTATAAAGCCTTCTCAACCTGTGGGTCTCACCTCTCTGTGGTTTGCTTATTTTATGGAACAGCCATTGGCGTGTACCTTGAGTCAGCTGTATCAAATTCCCCCAGAAGAGTGCAGTGGCCTCAGTGATGTATGCTCTGGTCACCCCTATGCTAAATCCTTTCATCTACAGCTTGAGGAACAGGGACATTAAAAGTGCTCTGTGGAAGCTGCAGAGCAGAATAATCTAATCTCATTATTTTGTTCTAATTCTTGTTGCAAGATACTCATGTTTAGCCTTTTGACTTTACCATCCTGTATAAACCTCTATCCCCTGTCTCTTTTTATTACTGAATGTCTAATCTCACCATTTCTTTCATACTTTCTGTAGTTTGGATTGGTAAGACAGTCACCTTGATTTGGAAATTCTGTGTTCCTGATCATGTTATCTTTCTCGATTCATGGCTTTTATGTTATTTTTTTCATATTTGAATACTCCTTTTTTTAGTTTGTCTTTAATTGAGTTGTGCTTGTTCCTGAGCTCACACAATTCCTGATGTATTTGTCATCATAAACATCGTGTCTGAATCAATATACCCAGGCAGTCTTTAAACTTTCTGAGTGATTACACTTATGTTTAGGTTAAATACTAAACTCTCTTTTATATATTAAAAATTTATATCCCTACATGTGTCTTCACAGTTCATGTATGTTTTCTTCTGGAATTGCACCTAAGATATCTATTTATTTATTTTAATTTTATTTTACCATTACATTTACCTACATGTGCATACATTGTGTGGGCCACCTCCCCTCCCCCCACTTCCAGGCAGACCCTGTTCTGCCATCTTGATCTCTGATTTTGTTGAAGAGAAAATATGAGCTAATAAGAAAACCATAGCAATTTGGCTAGTTTCAGATGCAGATAGCTGTACAGAGAGATTCCTAGGGTTGTTTCCACGCAAATGTGTATTACAACCCATATTGGTTTATCTGTACCAGACTTCTTCACTGCTTCCTAGTCTCCTTCTTATAGTGGCCTCTGTCAGTTTAAGATAACTATATTCACTTCTATACAGTGAGCAGATGAACCACACCCAAGTATTAGGTTTCTTTCCCTTTCCCTATTCCTCCCATGTGTGGTCTCCCACTTAGTGTAGTGTGTGACCCATGTCCAATAATATTACTGCTTTTGTAATGTTCTACAGTTCCATCCATCTTCTTGTGAATGACAGCATTTCATTCTTCTTTGTGGCTGAATAAAATTCCATTGTGTATAAATACCACATTATCTTAATCCATTTGTTCTGCCTGGAAGCGAGGGGGTGGGTGGTAGGGAGAGGGAGGGTACAGGGGGGTAGAGGGTAGAGGGAGAAAATGGCCCAAACAATGTATGCACATGTGAATAAATGAATGAAAAAAGAGATAAGTCTCATTTTAAATATATTCTTTTGTTCATGTGTTTTACTGAGAAGTCAGTGGTAGTCTCATATTTCCAGTTGCATGTCTGTAGTGGTGTCTGAGGAATATTGTCAATAATTGAATTGTATAATGTGAAAATGGCTGTATTACTAAAAGTAATCTACATATTCAATACAATACCCCTCAAAATTCCAATGGCATTCATCACCAAGGTTGAAGAATCAGCCCTAAAGTTTGTTTGGTAGCACCAAAGACCACAAATAGCCAAGGCAATATACTGAGAAAAAAGAGCAATGCTTGGTGTATCCTGAAATACATATGGAAACACAAAAGGCCTTGAATAGGCAATGCAATTCTGAGAAAACTGTCTAATCCTGGTGACCTCACAACAACCAACTTTAAACACTACTACAGAGCCATAACAATAAAAACAGCATGGTATTAGCACAAAAACATACAAGAAGACCAATGAAGCATAATATGAGTCCCAGACATAAACCTATGCATTTACAGTCAAATGCTCTTCAGAAAAGGAGCGCAAAACACACGATGGAGAAAAGACAGCCTCTTCAACAGATGTTGCTGGGAAAATGGCATATCCATATGTAGAAGACTGAAACTATATCCCTTTCTTTCATCCTGTACCAAAATCAACTCAAAGTTGATCAAAGAGCTTAGTGTAAGGCTTGACACTTTGAAACAAATACAGGAAGTAGTAGGGAATACAATGGAATATATAAGTATAGGGAACAACTTACTAAACAGAACTCAAAAGTTTCACATCTAAGAGAAACAATAAACAAATGGGACTACATCAAACTAAAGAGCTTCTGCACATCAGAACAATCAGTCACTAGACTTAAGTGACAACCCACAGAATGGGAGAAAATCTTTGCCAGCTACTCATCCAATAAGGGACTAATATCCAGAATGTAAAGGTAACTCAAAAAACTCAACAACTGACAAAGGACTGATAACAAGAATATATAGGGAACTTAAAAAACTAAATTCTCCCATAACTAGTGAACCAATAAAGAAATGGGCAAGTGAACTAAACAGAACTTTCTCAAAAGAAAGAAATTCAAAGGCCAAAAACACATGACAAAATGCTCACCATCTGTAGCATAAAGGAAATGTAAATTAAACCCACACTAAGATTCCACCTCACCCCTGTTAGATTAGCCATCTTAGCAACACTACTAACAACAGGTGTTGGCAAGGATTCGGGAGATAAAGGAAACCCTCTTACACTGTTGTGGATTGTAAACTAGTACAACCGCTCTGGAAAAAAATTTGGAGGCTACTTAAAAAATCTAAAATTGATCTACCATTGATCCAGCAGTACACTCTTGGGGATATACCAAAGATGTGAACAGGCTACTCCAGAGGCACCTGCACACCCATGTTTATTGTGGCACTATTCACAATAGTCAGATATGGAAACAGCCATTGATCCCACCTGGCGATGAATGGATTAAGAAAAATGTGGTATTTATTACACAATGGAATTTTATGTAGCCATGAAGAAGAAAAATGTTTCATTAGCAGGTAATGGATGGAATGGAGAACATCATTCTGAGTGAGGTTTAGGCTGGCCCAAAAGACCAAAATTGTATGTTTCTCCTTAGTATGCAACATTAGATCAAGGGCAAACACAACAAGGGGATTGGACTTTGATCACATGATAAAGCGAGAGCACACACGGAGGTATGAGGATAGGTAAGACACCTAAAAAACTAGATAGCATTTGTTGCCCTCAATGCATAGAAACTAAAGCAGATACTTTAAAGCAACTGAGGCCAATAGGAGAAGGGGGACCAGGAACTAGAGAAAAGGTTAGTTCAATAAGAATTAACTTAGAAGGTAACATACATGCACAGGAAATCAATGCAAGTCAACTCCCTGTATAGCTATCCTTATCTCAACTAGCAAAAACCCTTGTTCTGTCCTATTATTGCTTATACCCTCTCTTCAACAAAATTAGAGATAAAGGCAAAATAGTTTCTGCCAGGTAGGGTAAGTGGGGGAGGGGGAGAAGGGGGGGAGGTAAGGGAAGCGATGGGGGAAGGAGAGGAGAAATGACCCAAACATTGTATGCACATATAAAAAAAACCTCAACACCCAAAGAATCAACATCCCAGTGAATATATGGGCACATGAATTAAACAGGGAATTCCCAAAGGAAGAGGTACAAATGGCCAGTAAATACATGAAGAAGTAAGAGATGCAAATAAAAAAAACACTTAGATTTCATTTCACCCCAATTAGAATGGCCATATTTAAGGGAAATAACAACAAATGTTAATGAGGATGTGGTGAAATAAAAACTCTTATACACTGCTGGTGGGAATGCAAATTAGTACAACCACTGTGGAAAGCAGTATGGGCATTCCTCAAAAAGTTAAAGATAGAACTGCCATATGGTTCATGATACTACTTCTGGGCATATACCCAAAGGGATGTAAGTCAGGATACAATAGAGACACCTGAATACTGATGTTCATTGCAGCAGTATTCACAATAGCTAAGCTTTGAAAGCAACTCAGATGCCCTACAACTGATGAATGGATCAGAAAAATATGGTATATATACACAATGGAGTATTACTCAGCCATAAAGAATAGTGACATGTGGTTTGAAGGGAAATGGATGCAATTAAGTAGAGTAATCCATGCTCAGTAACCCAAAGGTCGGATGTTTTCTCTCATACATGGATGATAGATCCCAAACATGAACATATACATAAAAACTAGCATGATTATGTGCAAACTCATATGTAGAACCTATTGTAATAGTGGAACTACTCTATGAAATTCAGGAAGTAGGGAATGGAAAAGAGAATAGCCAGTAATATTGCAAAACACAACGTCTGTGAAGGTAGAGGACATAAGGATGCATTTTGAAAGGTATTGAAAATGGGGATGGAGTAAAGGGTAAGGAGAGTAATGGAAAGGGTTGAACAGACCAAAACGAAGTATACTCACAGTGGGGTTGCATTGAGAAACTCCTTCATATATCAACTAACATATTAATAATGAAAGACAGGACAGTAAAATAGGTACAGTGTGTGTAGGTACTGGTGGGTAGGGGAGGGTTAATGAAGGAGATTAAGGTGAAGTATATGGTTGATACAATTGATATACCTGTATGAAACAGAACAATGAAACCTTTTGCAATTGCTTTAAGTGGGGCAGGAAGGAGGATGAAGGGGAGCAATGATGGGGGCAATGTGACTAATGTACAATATCAGCCTAATCAGAATTGTTACTATGACTCTCCCCTGTATATAATGAATATATCCTAATGAAAAAAATTATTAAAAAATACCTGACTTCAAACTACCCTATAGAGCCATAGCAATAAATACAACATGGTACTGGCACAAAAAACAGACATGAAGATGGATGAACAGAATAGAAGACCCCTATTAAATAACAAGCTACACTCATGTAATTTTTGGACAAAAGTGTCCCACCATATGATGGGAAAAGACAGTTTCTTCAACAAATTTCTGGGAAAACTGAATATCTGCATGTAAAAACACTGAAACTAGATTCATGTTCTTTCACCCTGTACAAGTATCAGCTAAGTGAATTAAGGACTTTTAAATTATTTTTTTATTTTATAGTTTTACATTTACTCACATTTGTATACATTTTTGGGGACACCGCCATCCTCCCCCACCCCTGCTGCCAGGCAGAATGCATTCCACCATCTTTTTAAATTTA